ATGCAGCATAGACTGATAAGAACTTTTCGTTACTGGATTGTGAATTCAAATTGCACAAAATTAAAAATAATTAATATTTATTAATATTTTAATAATGTTTCAGGAATATTAAAATATAATACCTAGATTTATTATATAAGTGGACATATAACCTTTATAGAATACTCCTGTAATATTAAAAAAATATTTATGATATTTTCGAAATATTATAATAACATTATTTTAATTTTTTAATAATATTCATGTAACATTCTAGGAACATTTTGCGCTTATAGGGATAGGCCGCGGCCTAAATGCACGGTGTAAACGTAGCCATTTGACCGATTCTCAGACTTATATATAGAATTTGCATAAAGAAAATACGACGTTCAATTCGCTTTATCGTGCACTTTGGACCTGGTCAGCAGCTGAGCAGTGGTAGCTAATCACAGAAAAAAGAATTAACAGAGAGAATTGCAATCGTGTGTTCCACTGGGTAACAATCGGTGCATTATACTTTCGGTTTTTCCACATTTTTCTCTCTTTTCTTCCTTTATATCCCGCGGTTCAAATCAAAGGCTCCCGATTTACCACTGACGTATATTATACACGATAAGAGCCAGGCAGGCATCGCATTGCCGCATCGCATTATCGTTTTCAACCCCACCGGCTGATCCTCTCGCGCCTTTCGATTGGCGCTCGTGAACGAGCTATATGACAAAAACAAACGTGCTGACTGCTGCGTGGTATCCAGTGGTGTGGGTATACTGGTATCCCGTATCAAGCAAGCGCTAGGCGGAGTGGAGCTGAACCGAGCTGAACTGTGAGCGGATGCGTCATTCCAAGCGGATCGAGCAAACCGGTGTTACACGGGTTACGGCTTCCGGAGACTTCGGAGTGATCTTGAACTTTTAGAGAGAATTTTTAAAGCCGAGCGGTCTTGACACTTCAATCATATCTTGTCGTATCCTTTTCCCTTTCCACCTTAAGTGCTCAAATGTATCTACGTATATAAGCGAAATTTTTGCGAGTAGAGTTTTACTCATCGCCGCGTGTCGAGTAAGTTGAGTTCCACGTCGACAGTGAGACTGGAAATACTCGACGACGCAACACGATTCTATAGCGACCTTTCCTGAACAGTCTCCGATCCCTTCGACTTGTTTTGACGTTAACCGCGAGCTCATCCTCTCGCGAAATCGAATCGGAACGTGATAATCACGTATATTATTATCTTATCCGGTGCGTCTCGTGATTACAGTTAGCTCATAGTTGCCGGTAGTAATTAGCGGTAGGTGTGTGCCACATCATCAGAGAATCATCGCCAACTCTTCTATTATTTTCCCTCTTTGTCTTGCTCTTTCTCTTTCTGAAGCGGTGAGCCAGTCGTTTCAGTGTATTCGCAGTACGTCCGACGGGATTTCGACATGGGTATCGAGGACACCGCGTACAAGGTAATCGTACTTAATATTTTTCATTTACACAATTCTCGAAATATTTTCCATCACACGAAACAATTTTTCCTATCGCAGTTTCACGTAATACAGCTGCCGAGAGACTGAAGTTCATTTCTACTAATGTAGATTAACTTCTCTCGGTTCAACTTACTCTTCATTTTTTTTCTAATTTTTAAAACTAGAAAGAGATAGAGTTAGAGTTAAACTAAAAGTTAGTTAATTAAACTACATTGATAGAAACGGGCATTAGTCATCTCGCTTTAATCGTTTCTCGAAAAACACTCCTCCGACCTTGACTTCTCTTGCATCTCATTTTTTTTTATTACGTTTTAATTTCTATGAAGTTGAAGACAAACATATATTGTCTATACTCTAAGACTGTTTATCGATGCATTTTTCCGCCTCATTTTTAATCTACTCGATTTCCCCACAGATAAAAAAATACATGTTTATTTATCAGAATTAATGTTGTTTCTATGCACTAAGACTGTTTATCGATGCATTTTTCCGCCTCATTTTTAATCTACTCGATTTCCCCACAGATAAAAAAATATATGTTTATTTATCAGAATTAATGTTGTTTTTCGATTCTTGAAGACGCTTTTTTACTTTTCTTTTATTTAATCTGCTCAATTTTCTCAAAATTAAAAAGATAAGCATTCATTTAAAACTATTATTTTTCCTTTAAATGCTGTATTTTTCCGCTTTAATTTTTATCTATCTCATTTTCTTGACGCTGAAAAAAAAGATGCGCTGCGTTTTAGAATTTCCATCGTAGAGAGAAAAATATAATAAAGTTTAGTAAATATATTTGTTTGAATAGTGCCAGTTGAACACTTACTAAATGTATACTTATTTTATACAAGAATTATTAATTTGATTTGATTATTATTTTGTAGCAAATATTTATTCTCCGTAAATAATGTTATATTGTAATTAATGTTATATTAATATTGTTAAAATGTTATTATTTATTAAAAATTAAATATTAAACTTATGATTTATTAAAATCTAGTACATTTTTTTCTCACTGTTCGAAACAATTTTTTCTAGTTCACGTAACATGCGCTTTTAGGAACTTAATCATCTCGTTTTAATTGCTTCTTGGAAATTGCTCCTTCGACCTTGCAACGACTTTTTGCGTTGCATTTTTTTTTCTATTTCTCCGATGCTAAAGAGAAATATACATTTAGGACCAATGCTCTAAGACTGTTTTTTTATGCCTAACTATTTTTTCACCTCACTTTTTATGTCCGTTTCCACCAATGAGGATTAACTTTAGTCTCGGTTCAACTTACTCATTTTTTCTAGTTTTATAATTTAGGAAAAGATGAATAATAGCGTTTTCCATTAAAACTATGCAATACTAGTACATACTGAGTGAGTGCATTTGAATGCAAATCAATTTATAGTATTAATAATTATTTTCTGTTATATCAATGAATAATTTAACCGTTTTAATTACATTTTAAGTACAAAGATCTGCGAATAGTTCAATTTCGGATCGAATCGAATCAAATCATAGTGGATTTTTTTATTTCGAATCAATCGCCTATTTTATTTACTTTATTTATGCACAACTCATAACTTGAAAATGATTTTTTTTGTTTATTTAAAAAATTTGGAACATTATTGAAATTACTTTATTACTTATAAATTAGCTTTTAATGTATACATCTGTGAAAATTTATGCCGTTACCGAACACGTTACGAGTCTTACGATTCTGCTTATAGAATTGATCCATTAGTTCGAATTCGATTCGTATTCGAATCAAAAAAATTCGACTCGATTCGATGTATATATAGTTTCAAATTTAATTCGATTTGTTTTAAAATATATTATCAAAAATTCGATTCGATTTGACCTCACAAATACTTGATTCGCACATTTCTAAATTACATATTCTTTATTGTCACGATAACCTCGTATTATTGAAAGGATTAAATTATTTGTTAACATTGAAAATATGTAAACCGATTTGTAGATACTTAATTGTATCTGTGTTGCACTAGTTTTTCCAGTGGAAAAAAAAATTAATCTGCATTGGGAGGGGGGGTGGGGATGGAAACGAGTATTAATTTACTCGATTCCCCCAAAGTTAGAAAAAAATGTGTTTATTTATTAGAATTACTTAATGCTGTTTTTTAATTTTTTAAACTGTCACGCTTTTCCAACCTCTTTTATTTAATGTACTTGATTTTTCCAAAATTAAAAAAATATTTGTTTGGAACCTATGTTGTTTTCCGATCTTTTAAGATGCGTTTTTCCACGTCACTTTTAATCTACCCGATTTCTCTGAAGCTAAAGAAAAAAAGACGTATTTATCCGTTGGAACTGATGCTATTTTCCAACCCTTTAATAAGGTACTGCGCTTTTCCGCCTCATTTTTATTCCACTCGATTTCCCCGAAGTTAAAAAAGATACGTGTTTATTCATTGGAATTAATGCTGTTTTCCAATTCTTTAAGACGCCACGCTTTTCCACCTCGTGTATACTCGATTTCCTCGAGAAACTAAAAAAAAAATACATGTTTACTCATTGGAATGATGCTGTTTTTCGTTTCTTTAAAATGCCACGCTTTTTCACTTCAATTTTAATCGGCTCGATTTCCCCGAAGCTAAAAAAGATACATGATTACTCATTGAAATTAATGTTGTTTTTTTCGATTTTAAAACGCTGCGCTTTTCCACTTCATTTGAATCTGCTCGATTTCCCCAAAAACTAAAAAAAATACATTAATTAATTAATATTGATCCGTTAAAATTAATGCTGTTTTCTAATCCTTTTAATTATTGCGCTTTCTCTGTCCTCTTTCTTTTTCTCCGTCTTCTTTCCTGATATCGACGTATCTTTATCTAATTTCATAGGTGCAGAGGAATATACAAAGATCAACATGAGGGAGATATACATTCTAATTCTCGTTCTCTTTGCTTTTCGATTCGCGAGTTCTGTCTTTCACAGAAATACAAAATTCTCTGGTGAACATTTTTCTGAGAATTTTTATATAAAATTCAGAATTTTTTAGAATTTTTAAATAATTTTACAATTTTTTTAGAAAAAAATAGTTCTCAGATTTTTTATACAAATTGGAGC